AGTGCTTAGGCGCTCGAAAAAACAATATACTGCTAATAGTGATCCGCTGTAGACTTCACAAAGGACCTGTTAAAGGTAGGCGCGGTGATTACGGTTGGCCGATCGTACCAGTTGCAATCCATATTACTTTAAATGACACCACTGAGACGGGTACGAGACCTATCGATAATCTTTGTAGACCTCATTTCAAGTAATAAAGGGTGCAATTGGTACGATAGGGCCGATCGTAAACGCCGCGCGAGCGCCTCGCTTACCTGGAACTGAGCGCACGGCTACCTTTAACAGGTCCTTTGTGAAGTCTATAGCGGATCACTATTAGCAGTATATTGTTTTCTCGAGCGCCTAAGCACTTCTTTCGAATCCCCTGAAATTCTTAACTACCTCTTGTCAAAAGACTCTTTTGACATAATGAAACCCATGACCTAATTAAAAGTCCCTTACCGTTGAAATAGCTTTTAGTAATTCATTACCGTTAGCCGTCGAAATTTCCGTCAATAAAGAAAATGTCCGGCAATAAAGGAATTTCCAAAATATTACAATGAGGCACCAGCTCATCTACCTGTGCACCTCCGCGTTTGACTCTCATACTTACTCCAATCAGAGACAAGCTTTGATTTCTCGAAAAATATATAACCCAGGTACACCCTTTCATTTTTGTTAGTCTGTTTTTGACTGGCTCCCTAACGGTTACTTTCGCCGAAATTCAGTGAAATTCAGTGAAGTTCAGTGAGAGTGTCCAGTTTACTCAACCGAAAGATCAACTACAACATATCACACATCAATTAAATATACACAATTAGTCAAATTTAATTAATTTAATATATATCGTGCGTCTCGTGTTTTCGTAAAAGAAGCGATTGTAATTGTATCAATAATGGATTGTGGACCCGCAAAGAGATCCAAGAAGAGGTTTCAGCGTCATTGGTATGACGCTGACGAATCTCTGAAGGTTTGGTTAGTAGAGATTTCTTCAGACGAATCAAAATGCTTCTGCAAGGTCTGCAATAAAATCTTCAATTGTGGACTTTCGGAAATCCGCAAGCATTCGTCTAGCGCGGGACACATTAAAAGTCTGAACAAATTGCGGAATAGTAGCAACGTAGCCAGTACTAGCACGAATTTGAGGGTGGGAGAGTCTGCGGAAGAATTCCATCGGTCGGAGGAATTTGATCAGGGGCAGGGTTCTGTGATTTCCTTTCAGGAAAAAGTAAAAATCGCGGAAATTAAATACGCGGCTTTCTACGCCGAACATAATATCCCGCTGTCGGCCGCGTCAGATTTTCTTTCTCTGATGCAAAGCATAGCAACAGAACCCGAAGTACTGCAGAGTATGAAGGTTGGTCCCCGACATCAAATCTAAAAAGCGACATAAAGTAAGAGTTGACCTCCTAAATTCCATATGTGTGGTGCGCACATCCTTAAGAGCTAGACACGAGACTAGCCGCACCATGTCTATCGATGATAGACATTTAAGTCTTATGCCGGGGAAGCAATTATACGCTAGTACATCGCCCTCGGAAAACTTTAAATAGTTTAAACCTTGCACGCGTACGCAGAGAAGTAGCGTTCTCTCACAACCATTAATAAACGTTTCTGATAAATCTTTATGAAGTGAATACGAATCTGGAACCGTTTTCTCACAGCACGTTCATTTTGAAGAAATCAAATTAAAACAAAACTTAAAAATTTCATTTTTGAAGAAATGTGGTGCTTCTACAGTAATAGTTATTTCGTGTCAAAAGCGACTCAATAACTATTACTGTAGAAGCACCACATTTCTTCAAAAATGAAATTTTTAAGATTTGATTTAATTTGATTCCTTCAAAATGAACGTGCTATGAGAAAACGGTTCCCAGATTCGCATTCACTTCATAAAGATTTATCAGAAACGCTTATTAACAGTTGTGATGTGAGGTATTTTACGTGTTGAATAGTGTAGTCAGAGATATCAGGCTTAGGGGGTCCATTTTAAAGTTATTACATAATTACAATTGTATTGTAGTCGCTTGTTCGTGTATTTCTTTCGCCGTACTTCCGCCGCGTGTATTTTTTTCGCGTATAATTCTTCCGCGTAATATCTTACATTTTCAGCGATGGATTTTTTTCTATCCAGAAAAAAGATAAGTTTACAATAATATTTATATTTTATCTTACACTATGACAATTATGATTATAATTATATTTATATATTTTTTTCTTTTTAGATATATACATAAGCAAAAGACTATCGTACTTCGTTACTTTCGTTACCTGCTAAACTTCTACTCAAAAGTGAGGAAGCAAAATTACAGAATAATTCAACAAAGAAAAGATAAGTTCATAGCAATCTTAATATTTTATCTTATGTTATTAAAATTACTATTTCAATTGTGTTTTTTTCTTTTCATATGGAGAAAAGCAAAAGACCATTCGGCATCGTATATACGTGGACCAGCTGCACCGGTTTTCGTTAGCGGCGAAATATATCATAATTTTAAAAGACTGAATATACACTTATGACGTAATATTTTAATCTAATAGATTTTTGTACGAATGTTCCGAGTAGTAATGAGTAGGGTTGTAAGGATAACATCTAATTGTAAAAATAATTTATGTGTATACAACATAATATGTATGTATACAATAAAAAATGTAGATATTGAAGTGGAAAACATTTATTTTCTTCTTTTTAAATGCTTCCCGAATTAATATTTTTTAACTTTTTTATTTTGCTTAGAGGTTACAAAGTGAAATTATAAAATAATTAAAAATAAAAAGTAAAACCGCCGCAGTGGTATACGAACAGGATTTCCAAGGCAGCAGTGATGTCAGAATCGTGGTACGGTTTACCCCCACTCTTTTCTAAATATAGCTCACCGTCTCTCGAACGGCCAACGCACACGGACAGGGCTGGGATATGCTTGTGTGTGCCAGCACGGTGGACGTAAAGTGGGGGTAGCCGGGACGGCATACATAGTGGGAGACGATGGTACGTCGGAGTGGGAGAGTGGTGGGGGTAAACAGTACCACGATTCTGGCATCACTGGGCCCGGCGCGGATGGGTCCCAGGTTACCGAGCGCATTTGGCGGACTGCAGACCAAATGTTCGTTTCTTTTGTCTATTATTCCCTTTGTCAACGAAATTGAAATTGCTTGAATGAAGGAAATAAAATAATAAAAAATAACGGTAACGTCAGATTCTAAAACCGTCGTTTCAGGTCTACGACGGAACACTATTCGATCTCTAGTAGAGACGTGATCGTATTCGCACTATTTATCTTCCGAATTCCGATTCTACAAAACCCGTTGGGCTGATATCTCGCAAAGCGATGGTCTTCATCCTTCCAAGACTCGGTTTATCAGTATACGTTTTGTTATCCGGTATCGCATTCGGGTCCCTACGCGTATATGTATACTATTCAAAGGGCACGACCAGGCCCCCAAAGGGTATCCGCCTGGAACACGGCCCCCACCCCTCCTCACCTCGGGCCCGAACGAGCGTCCTGTTCTTTATCTGCCTTTCTCTCTCCCCGGTCGAATCTCTTGCATGACCCTCCCAGTTTGATGTGTGACCACACGTCCTTATCCGTTGTCCTTGATGTCCAATTGGTTAGTCGAAGTAAACACTGTTCTGCTGCTAATATAGGTGCGTTCGGTGTACCCCTGCGTATGCCAGTCAACAGTGTTCAGCTTCGAGTCGTTTACTTATCCTGAGGACTGTGGAAAACTATTAAAAGCGATCGCTTCGGACACTGCCTAACCCGGACCTTTGTCGGCCTGTTCCGACCACAATTTATTGTAGAGTGTTCGCGAATTAAAAAAAAATGAATTTTAAGGAGGAAAGATTATAGAATACGGACACACATTTTTCAAAATTGTTTAGTCGTGATCCAGTTGTCAAATTTGTAAAACAATAAATTTTTCATATTTTGGCATTGCAAAAATAACTTTAAGTATAAAACAAAAAATTAGTTAAAAAGGTTGATTCTTTACGATTAAAATGAAACTAATCAAGGTCGTATCTTTTATAGTTGTGGAGATAAAAATTTCTTTGTCAAGATTGTTTTCATAAAAATCAGTAAGAATTGTCAAATTTGAGAGTCTGCATTTTTAAACACTTTTGAAGCAACCGAAATCTTGACTCCGTTCCCCATTTTCACGTGGACTATAACATATTTCAATTTCAGCAAAATCCCAAACATTTTTACATGCGAAACCAATCGGATGTGCAATATGGTTAAATGTAGTAGGGAACGGAAGTATCAGTGAGAATAAAAATTCTAATTGACTTGTAGTAACTAATATAGCATGTTATTAATAAAATATATTTTGAACGATAGATTCAAACTTCGCGCGAATACACATGAAACCGACAGTTTGGTTTGGCATGACAAAATTGACAGATTGGAGCGTCTGTGTAGACAGGTCTTTTGGAGCGTCCGTTCCAAACCTGGACGCCAGGTGTGCGAACTGAGACTGCCGGAATTGGTGCGCCTGCCGGGAGCATACGTGGCAATGAACCTAATGACCTCTATACAATGGGAAAACATGCTTCTCTTGTCACATAATTTTCGACTGTTGCGTCTGCATCATACTGAAGAGAGGAACTACTTGTCCGAGTCAATAGAAAACGCTTCTATTCACTCGCCCGTCAATTTTCTCGCCGAATTACTCGGCCGAGTACTAGAATATTGCGTTTAGAATGGGCGAATGCTCGGCCGAGTGAGCCCACTCGCCGGTTTGCTTGGCCGAGCACTTGCCCGAGTGCTCGCCTGCTCGGCCGAGCACTGGACAATGTGTTCACACTGGGCGAGTGTTCGGTCGACTGTGCTCACTCGACCGACTACTCGCTAGGTGTAAACTAGGCATAAGTATTTGATCAGATATTCATTATTATAAAAAATGCAACATTTATACTGAAATATAATTAAATTTGTTATTGTCTACTGTTTCGTTCTCTTTCTTTTTTAAAGAATCTCATGTAATTGTTGCAAACACGATTATGTTTCAAAGTTATGCATTTACAGCCTGATTATATTCAAATCTGTTACAGTTGATTGATGACTTAATTTACATTCATTATAGTGAAGCAATTCCATCAGAATCATTATTTCCAATTTCCTTCGTGTTTGTCTGTTAAAATACGATGTACCAGAGCAAAATGTCCAGTGTTACCAGCTGCATGACATACTTGATTTGCAATTCACAGAATGTATTTCCTCCGGAATCTGAAACCGCAGAACACGAGTTTCGTTGGAACCAGAAAAGAAATTGTAAGTGAAATATTATTATATATAACGAATTACTGTTATAAATAGGCGTCGTAAATTTACAAAATTCATAGTATCTTATTTCTAATAATGTTAATCCTTTATGTAGTCTTTAAATTATACAATTTTGATTTTGACTGTATGCTCGCATTTTCAATTTTGGTTTCGAAATAAAACTAATCTAGACCATAAATAGTTTTTGTGAATAACACAAACATTGCTGCACGATAAAGTTTTTCAAGGACAATTTAAATGAAAATAATCTGATTTTTGAAGTTATTATTTTTTTCTAACAGAAGAATATATTTTTTTCAGACTTTCCACACGCATATTTGCTACCAGAATAAAAATAGAGAATATATTTTATTTTAGTGTTGAAAAACTAAATTCTAGATCGAGTAATTCAAGTAATTGGTTTTGATAGGGTTAACAATAAAATAAAAATTTCTTAAATTCGAATAATAAAGCTCATATTTTATATTTTCTACGGTGCAAATAATAAATGAAAATACGCAATCTAACAATACACATCAGAATGTCCTATTAAATATTGCATAATTACATTAACTGTTTTTTGTTAATTTTTTACGCAATACATAATAAAATATAAAATGAGGATAAGAGTTATTTTGTTCTCACACTAATCACGCGATAAAAAATATTGCGAGATTCACAATATATGTATGTGTTCTGGTGTGCCTTAATAATGAATTTATACAAGGAAAGTACTAAATAAACACGAGTGCCATCTATCTAGACAGAAGACGCGAACTTGGCACATAAGGGGACGGGAAAGAGAGTAAATAAATATATTGTAAATGTCCAGATCAAACCGAACGAAGGGGATCAAAGTGGGGACACTAGCAATTAGACGCCACTCTCTTCGCATCGGCGTTTCCTCACCATAATCGTAATATCGCAGCGGTTCCGTAGAATCATCATCACAGTCTTCATCAGCGGATGCGATCTGCATTGCCCCTTCCCTATCGAATTCACCGACCTTTCGCTTACCCTCGAACGCAATCGCTGCGTAATCGGACCTTGCCTCTCGGATACGCTTCCTGGGGCTCCAACGACCCTTCGCAAGGCTTCCTAGGCCGATCTAGAAAAGCCAGGAAAAGATTTACGTCTAAGTACTAACCGTAATCGTAATAGCGCGACGACTCCGATTGATTCACCTCCTCTTCGTCCTCGTCCTCGTCGTCGTCCTTATCATCATCGTCGTCGTTGTCGTCGTCGTCTTCGCCGACGGCGGCGACTTTTGCTCCGTTCACGATACTGCTCTCGCGGCTGTTCCCGTTCTCTTCGTCTTCGTCGTCGTTGTTGTAATCGAAATCATCGTCGAATCGGCTACGCACATCCGGACGGTATCCTCTGTTCTTTTTCAAGTTCTCACCGGTAATCCAGTTGTCACGTAAACCATACTCGTCGCCGGGACTGTAAACACGTAAGAGACGACGCTGCGATGGTTTCATCGACTCCGAGAAGATGGGCGGGTCTGTAAAGAGGATGAAGTGCAGCCACGTTTAAAAAGGAGTGGAAATAATATTGATTTAGAGGAGGACGTCCGATAGGAAGATACATGGTATAAAATTATAATTCACCCTTAGCGGTACGAAGTAATCGAAGATTTTTACTCAGACACTTGCGTGAATATCATATAATTTAACTACACTAATACTTTAACTCTCCAATTACGGTGCCGGAGTCATTTCTGACCACAGTCGCCAAACATGGGGTTATCCATGAACTACATCGTCAGAGTTTTGTAGAGATTTAGGGGCCTTGTCTCGCGTAGACTAGACACCCTCTAATCAGAGTCACGAAATCGCGTCTAAGTTAGGTCGGTGAACGCCATTTTTAGGCAAAAGTGTTATAAATGGCGGTATAGTGGCGGTATATTTAACGTTGTTTTGAAGCATTATAATTGGTATGATAGAAAAATGACTATGAAATTGTACCAATTCATTACAGAAAGGCTATATTATGAAAGATTGAAAATTACGTTATACAATTACACTCTAATTCAATTACACCGATGATTACAGTAATTCGCAATTGAATTATGTAGTTGAAAAATTTGAATTATGTAATTCAAGTACAGCATAATTCAGCTACTATATCTCATTTTATTTATGAAATAGATTTTTTTTAATATGTCGCATTAGTTGATTGCCATTACTTTTTCCTTTCATATAGTAAGCAATATTAGACGAAATAAGTACATATATGACCCATTTTTTATACCTTTGAACTTTGAAAAAAATATATGGCAGAAGATTATTTCTGTTCACATGTCACGAACTTATAAATAATATCATATTCATCGATGACAATAATTTTTTCTGATTGCAAGCTTCACGTCTTTGTCTCGCCGTCTATATGTCGATATTATGTCGGAGCCACACGAGCGTTTGTGTCTGACGACACAGGACGGACGATTGTAGTTTTGTACACAGTCAACGATCGTCCAACTATCGGATGACGAAACAATCGAGAAACATGACACATGTCAGACACATGCGTGGTGAAACAAGCATCGACACCGTCTTTTATTACATTTCGTGCCCCATTTTCAGCTTCTATTGGGCAATAATTCATTTAACTTTTTATTTCAGTGGATTAATTTGTTATGAGCCGAGGACTAAAGGCAGCTTTCGCCGTAGCCGAAGTAAGGTAATGTGTTACGAGCGGACGAACCAATGCTTATTTCATTATTGGGAGCCGCTTTAGGTTAAAAGAATAGGTTGGCTTCGTAACTTTGTAATTAAGAATACAGTACGCTTCGAGTGGTAAAACTGTACTGTTGTGAGTTTTACTTCAGCTAGGAATTCAGATATGATTTAAGGCTTGTAAATGAATTGAATTCTACGTTTATAGAATAAGTATATAAATATATTCTAAATTAGTCGTAGGACTTTACAAATGTTCGAGTTTTAAGTGTCGCGAAAACTAATTCCTTCCCTGATGTTCACGCACCAATGGAGAGAGAGAGTGCGGGGTCACGTTAAAATAATGCCTAACAGTAAATTTACGTACTGTATGGTTATAAATGTTTGAAGAGGATTAACCCGATCTTGTCTGTCGTCTATGGAAGTCAGATCCGAAATGTGACCGTCCAGGATACATCCGTGGCCTTTATATGTATACTCGAAAATCAGTCCAAAAGTCACATAGGTATGCATGCTCTCAACGAACTGTAATTCCTGGAATATCTAGATCGTTGCATCAGCACGGAAGTCCTTGTCTAAGCTTGGACATTCTAGTCTCCAAGAAAGGTTCAAGGGTTTAAAAGAAAGCCTTCTTTGTTGTTGGCGTACGTGACAAATTAATGCTCAAGATTAAAAAAATTAACAAAATTAATAGTTAATTCTTGATTATACATAAAAATTAATCGTTAATCATCAATCGCTGATTACATCAATTGGTAATCAATCACATATTAGTTTTTAATCGAAATTTAATTGAGATTCTATTTTATGTATGCTTCCTGTAAATTACATTTAAAATAAATAATTTAATGAAAGTTAAGTCAACGGAGTAATAATATTAAGTAATTTAGTTTCTTCCTCTACTTATATACAAACACATTACCGTCTCCCTAACTTGAAAAAAAATATCTGTCGCAGGTTTTTATACACATTTCCTTAATGAAAAAGTGTTCATTATCGCGTGATATGAATTTCGATTTAACGCTGGACCTTTTTTTATTAAAATAAATTTAAAAGTACCTCAACGAATTGGTACAAAATTAAGCGACCTCTTAATCCAAAAAAAAATACTTCATACCATACAACGCGAATATATGTATATATTATATATAATATACATATACATATAATATAATATATTCACGAAAAATTGAAATTATCAAATAAAAGTTCATACAAAATGTCGCGGCCATCCGCGTGGATTCTCTTTCGAATCCGCCTGGACTTGTAAATTCCAGGCTCGACCGTCGTGGTACGCATACAGTTGCGACCTGTTGCACGCCAAATTAATATTAGCCAACTGTTTCAATATTCTCTAAGTGAGAAAAACTAATATAATTGCTCGACCGTTGGAGCTGACGAATCGTGAGGTGAATGTTGTCGAATGAATGTTTTCGAATGAATTGAGTCCGCGTGACTCTTGTCGAAACGAGTACGTGTTTTCGAATGACTATTCGATTGCGAGTGTATGTTCGTGTACGAGTACGTGATTTCGAATACTGTTCGAGTACGAGTGAATGTTTACGAATGAATTCAGTCCGTGTGACTCTTATCGATACGAGTGTTTGCGAATGAACTCGAGTACGAGTCTTCGAGTGCGAATGAATTGAGTCCGTGTGACTCTTATCGATACGAATATTTGCGAATGAACGTTCGAGTTCCGTGTGACGTCGCGCTTCCTCCAAGTTCGCTGAAGACGTTACCAAAACTCGCCTCCTTATGGGTTATGCCCTGAAGGGGAAGGCAAATTTCTCGGTTTTTTCAAGTGATGTGAAGGTGGAAAACCTCTCCTTCAGGGCGAAGGGGAAGGCAAATTTCTCGGTTTTTCCAAGTGATGTGAAGGTGGAAAACCTCTCCTTCAGGGCGAAGGGGACGTCAGAAAAATATCGCGCACCTGGTCAAGGTGCGAGTTGACCGCGACGAATATTCGAGTCTCTCAACGGTAGGGTTTATGACTGTATTATCTGCGAGTCAGCGCACCCCGGTAAGGCCCGGCGCGAATGTGTCCCAGGTTACCGAGCGCTTGTGGCGGACTGCAGACCAAATGTTCGTTTCTTTTGTCGATTATTCTCTTTGTGTCAACGAAATTGAAATTGCTTGAAAGAAAATAAAGTAATAAAAAATAACGGTAATGTCAGATTCTAAAGCCATCGTTTCGGGTCTACGACGGAACACAAAAGTTGTACGGTATAAATGTACTTCATCACTCATATCTGCGTATTTAGAAAAGTGTGCAGAATATTTTCATGCAACAACAATTGAATATTTCTGTAGTTACATTGCAAAATTTATTTATGTGCAAAAAATATAATTTTTCTTTAACATTATATTTCTTCAAAACTGAGTATGGTAAAATAAAACAATTCGCAAATTTGTAACTAGCGTGTGGAACTCTTATCAGAAACCTAAAGTGGGAATCGGAACGCTTAAAAAAAAGAACAATTTGTTCTACAGTGTAATTATGAAAAGAAAAATTCCAATTTAATAGTTCATAATTAATTTAATTTACAATTAATTATCGAATTCAATTATTCACTGCAATTATACATCGATCGAATTCACAATTTAATTGTTAATGGCGATAGATAATCAAATATGTCAATTGCAATTGTTAATCGTTAATTGGATTAAATATTGCACAACACTGCTCTCGAGATATTTACCAAAACAGTGTTATTAAAAATCAATTTTTAATACATTATGAAAGTTTAAGTATATTTAAACAATCATGAAGAGATCCGTTAATTTTCCACCAATGTTTCGGAATACATACTTTTAAATTTATCTTAAAAAAGAACAGTCCAGTGTAACATCGAACCATATTACACGATACTACACATATTTTTGTTAAAGAAATGCTTATAAAAAGTTGTAACAGAATTCTTTTCAGATCGGAAAGAAATTAATTTATTTATATATAAGAATAGAAGGAAAATAATGTATTATTTACTTTTATCATTTCATGAACTTAATTTAATATACTATTTTTCCTTCAAGTTTCTTTATTCGATTTATAACTTGATCAAAATTTTACATGTGGTGAAAATAATCGACAACTGCGTAATTTACAAGAAGTATACATAAAATAGTTTTTAATCGAAATTTAATTGAAATTCCAACAATTGATGATTAATAATTATTTATTAATCGATGATTGGCAATTTATATTTATAATCAACGATTCACGACTTTGATAATTGATTAAATTAATCGCGATTTTTTACGATTAATTTTTTTAACCATAAGCACTAATCAATCAATGAAATTAAAAATTTTAGCCGATTAGTGCCCAACACTGCTCGAGATAATCGTATGTCCCAGCCTGTCTAATGCTCAGGATATGTATGTGTGCAGATTGCTTGACGACATCTAGCATAAATTGGCCGACGAAAACGGCAATTTCGTACGTCTCTCGTGTGTGGTCTCCAATGTCAAACAATATACCTTTACATCGGACGTGACATTCGTCGGTCAAAAGTCATTCTCCTGTGGTTCAGTCGACGACCAGCACGAGGTATCTCGTGTGCGCTCTACAATGTAACTCTATGTATTTCTACAGTCGTCCGTCTTGTGTCATCCAACAAAAACGCTCGTGAGGTCCCAGCCTTAATAAGGGATGCGATGAAAGGGAAAGGATGAGCGAGAAAAATGTAAACCGAAAAACGACAGGTCCAATATAGAAATTAAAAGAATGGTACAAGGAATATAAATGTTGTGTCTTTATTTTTTTTATGTGCGCATTGCCATGTTCTTACTATCGAAATACCTTTTTTGGCTTATGTATTTTTTATATGCAATCTTGCACCTAAAAATCGCAAACCTACGAAATATATTCATTATTAAATTATGACAATCTGGTATAATTATCATTATTTGGCTTTCTATGACGAGTTCGAGCACTGTCACTGTGTTAGTGAAATATCTGTGTGGAGTCAGCAATGACTCCGGCACAGTAGTCCGTGCTCCAATAGTGGGAGGGTTAATTGAATAATATATTTATAACATTTGAGAAGTTTTGAGATAATATGTACGAACAGTGCAATTGTACAATTATAAACAGATAAAGGGTGTCCCAAAAATCAGTTCCATACTTTAACTGGTTGGCAGTTCGGTATTCAAGAATATGTAATTATCGTAGATACTTATATTTCAAATCATTGTTCGCTAAAGTCACATATTAAAAGCAGTTCTAAATTAGTACACATAGTTTTACATAATTTATTGGCTAAAAAGAGGACGCCTTAAAAGACTGTTCTATTGTTTATTTCCAGTACTATTAGTTTATATATTAATGAAATTTTTTATCAACAATTATTACACAGATCAAATCACAGATCAGAGGGAAAATACATAGTTGCCAGTGAGAAATTAAGGAGTTAGGTTACTTTTTTATAAAGAGGTGAGCTTATTTATAGATTGTGCACATCTACAGATGGTGTAGAAGACACGGGCGAAATATTATTTCTTAATATTTGTTAGCGTCGATTCTTTTAAGAAAGGAGATGCACTTGGCGTCGGATTCTTGAGAGGAGATTGTATCGCCGATAGCCGGAACCTCAAATATATATGTCGTGAATGTTTAGGTTCGGTGGCGGCTCGAGCGGCGACACAATTTCCTCTCAAGAAGCCGACACCACGTGCATCTGCTTTCATAAAAGAATCGACGCTAACATGTTAAAGGTGAAAAGAGTAGTGCTTTTCACGAAATTGCAAGAAATGGCCATAATCTAATAAAAAAAATGAAACCCAATAAATTATCCGTAAACTATAATTAACAGTAAAAACAGTAGCAAAAAATAATAAAAAAGGACTCGTTTCGCTCATTTAAGTAAGTCCCAATCAATATTTAAAATTGATAATAAATGCTTTCCTAATGGTAAGATATAAACACCTATGTACTCTCACGAGCAAACTCGGCTTCCGTTAGGGGAAAAGTGGCGCAGAGAAAGGGTCTTCTACCATTTGAATTCGGAAGTTTCTGAAATTTATGCCAAATTAACATGATTTTAACATTTATTTCAGTACTTGAAATAGATTTACCAAGTAGTAGGAAGCCCTTCTCCTACGACACTTTTTCCCCTGGTGGAAGTTGAGTTTGCTCGTGGGTGTACATGTAGATATGTATGTGAAATCGAATCTGTTGCTCACTTATCGATGAGAGCGCGTCGATAAGTACCTTCGAACCTCTCACAATTAACGTCCTCGTAAATCTCGTCGAAGTCGGCAATATTACTGGGATCAAGCTCTCCTTCCAAAGTGAATGTTTCAGCATCAGTTTGGGTACACTCTTCGGTAGAAATGCAAGGTTCCGTGAACCTGGCCGCTCTCAGAATTCCATCGACCGTGTTTACCTCGCAATAACATTTACCGAAGCTATCCAGGCAACTGGAAAAGTTCACACTTTTCATCATGGACAAGGAATTCAGGAAAACTCCCTCAAAGATGTTTGGGCTCACCAAAACGATCCCGGCCCGATACATTCTATGGCGGGCTTGGCTCTGCGACATACATATAACGACAAGTGATAATTGGATTGTGGATTTTATGCATTTATAGCATATGCAGATGTATTAAGTTGAATAAAATACATATGGCAATGAAAGGGTATATCAGGATAAGGGGGTCAAAAATGCCCTTAGACCGATTTTGACTTGTCAAATACCATTCGATAGCTTCAAGAAAAAATAGTCTGTGTCAAGTTTCAACCCTATATCTTGATCAGGAGGGTAGTAATAGGGAAAATTCGGATTACTGTTTTTTCCTCCATTTTCCCTCTTTAATGACGCACAAATTCTGTAAAAAATCTGATAGATAGTATTTATCGGGGCGCGTGTACTACCCTCCTGATCGAGATAAAGGGTTGAAACTTGGCACAGACTATTTTTTCTTGACAAGCTATCGAATGGTATGTTACAAGTCAAAATCGGTCTAAGAGCATAAAATTCCACATCACTAATTTAGTTTCCGCCATTCCGACTCAACAATCGAACAATGCCATAGAATTATCCATACAATCAATAAATCCTTTGAAGATAAAAAATATTCCCCATCAGTGTTCCTTGATATAAGACAGACATTTGATAAAGTTTGGCACGATGGCCTTCTCTATAAAATAAAGCATTCTCTCCCATATTACTATTCTCATGTACGCCAACAATAAAGAAGGCTTTCTTTTTGACCCTCTCCCTTTCTTGGAGGCTGGAATTTACAGGCTTAGATAAGGACTGTCGCTTCCGTGCTGATGCCATGATCTAGATTTTCCACGAATTACAGATCCGATGACAGGATGCATACGTGACTTTTGGACTGATTTTCGGGTGTATAAAGGGCCACGAATGTATCCTCAACAGTCACATTTCGAGTCTGATTTCCATAGACAAGAGACGTATTAGCAAGATTAGGTCAATTCCATTCAAGTATTCATAACCATACTGTTAGGCATTACTTTAACGTGACCCCGCACTCTTGGCGCGTGAACATCGGCAACTCAAACATTTGTAAAGTCCTACGACTGATATAGAATATATTTGTATTACTTATTCTATAAACTTAGAATTCAATTCATTTACAAGCCCTAAATCATATCCGAATTCCTAGCTCGAGTAAAACCCACAATAGTACACTTTTACCGCTCGAAGTGTGCTGTATTCTTAATTACAAAATTACGAAGCCAACTTATTCCTTTAATCTAAAGCGGCTCCCGGTGATGAAATAAGCATCGGTTCGTCCACGGCTTGAACCAAAAAACTTAATGGCTCCCTGTGATGAAATAAGCTCAGGTTCATCCACGACTCTCCTACCGATCTGTGCGGCTCCCGGTGATGAAATAAGCATCGGTTCATCCGTGTCCCTAAACAGCTTCCGGTGGTGAAATAAACACCGGTTCTGAAGACTTTCGACGATCGGTTTGCGACTTTCCGTCGTTACAGCGGGTCCCAATGATAAAATAAGCATTGTTTCGTCCGCTCCTAACACACTACCTAACCTCAGCTGCGGCGAAGACTGCCTTTAGCCCTCGGCTCGTAACACTATAGATTATTTCAGTCCTATGTAAGCGATCGACAATTCAGAACCAGAGTCAATGGCGAAGTTTCAGATACCTTTCCAGTCAAGGGGGGAGACTCCTTTGGGGCCAACTCCGAATCGATCGAAGCGCTGATGTAATCAATCGGACACTAACGAAAACACATAACCGATAATTGGAACAGCTTAATAATACGACATCTAACGGCAATACCCACAAATAAATTTTGTTCCCCGTTACCAACAAGTTGGATTTGTGTATTTGCTACGAGAAGACAGTGTGCCGGATAGTATCGATTTTTGACAATTCTGCCCATCAGGAGAACGATGGAATACCTACGGCTCGTGGCGAGATTTCGACTCTCGCCGAACATAGGAAAAGAATGGTGCGACTGAAAGAGATTCGAGAATGAAGCAATACTTACGTACTAATGTTTGCAACGATAAACCTTTTCTATTCGTACTTGCAATGATGCTAATTTTTTTTACGACCGTCGCGGTGGACGGCGCGGCCGCCGGCGGGAGGCGGGGGCAGCCGCCCCGTATATGTTAATAATTATTTTCATTCAAATAAAACATTTTTGATAATATGAAGATCGTACTTTTTTTCAAATCCTTCAAGTCCTTCCTTCCTTATCCCTGTGCACATATATACAAGAAAGTGGAAAAATCGTTGTTAGTTCAAAATCTATTT